TCCAAAATTTGCTTAATTTATCATTAAGATTCACCGATTTGCTAACTAGGGTTTTCCACTTTTTGTTTGTTTTGTTCAGTCTAAATCACAAATCTGAAGCTTATGGAAGAAGCAGATCAGTTATGTTTGGCAGCTAAATCCGGCGACTTGAAAAAGGTCAAAACTTTAATAAATTCCGGCGCCGACGTGACCCACTTCGACGGCGACGGATTAACGCCGTTAATGCACGCCGCGAAAACGGGAAACGCAGAGATTATAACGGCGTTACTCGAGTCAGGAGCTCCATGGAATGCTCTGTCTCCGTCAAATCTCTCAGCCGGAGATTTCGCCATGGAAGGAGGTAACCAAGAAGCTTTCGATCTCCTCCTCAAAACCGGAATCGAATCAGAGCTAATCTTAGGAACAATCGCAAGAAAAGAAACCAAAAACGAATACTCGAATCAAGAATACTTACAAGACCGAGTTAGTTTCAGTGAAGACAAGATAATGGACAATGAAAGCAAAGGTGTAATGATGGCTTGGGAAAAACCATTAATGGAAGCTCACGCTAAAGCAATTTGCAACAACGGTGGTTCGATTCTCAACGTTGGTTTCGGTATGGGACTTGTCGATACCGCGATTCGACAGTATAAACCGACAAAACACACGATCATCGAGGCGCATCCCGATGTTTACAAGCGTATGATCGAATCAGGATGGGATAAAATGGAGAATGTGAGGATTGTGTTTGGTAGATGGCAAGATGTTGTTGATGATCTTGATGAATGTGGTTACGATGGGATCTTTTTCGATACTTATGGAGAGTATTACGAAGATTTGAGAGAGTTTCATGAGAAGTTACCGAAGTTGTTGAAGCCTGATGGTGTTTACTCGTATTTCAATGGGTTTTGTGGGAGTAATGCGTTTTTTCATGTTGTGTATTGCAATTTGGTGAGTTTGGAGATTGAGAGTTTGGGTTTGAGTACTCAGTTGATTCCTTTGCCGGTTAAAGATTGTCTTGGTGATGAAGTTTGGGAAGGTGTCAAGCAGAAATATTGGCAGCTTGATACTTATTATCTTCCTGTTTGTCAGTTTAGTGAGTGATTTTTTTTTTGAGTTTAGCAGTTTTTGTATTTGTGAGATTTTAATGAACTTTAAATTTGGTTAAATATAGTTGTAATCTTGATTTCACTGAATAATTAGAGTTTTTCTTGACTTATCATATGATGGTGATGTGAAAAAAACTTGGAAGGTCAAGGCATGTATGGACTTGGACTTAAATATTGGTCTTTAGAAATTAAGATGGGCTTAAGATAGGCCCATTATGAAACGACGTCGACTTTGTTTCTCGGTCCTTTCTCCGCCACGTGTTTTATTCGTGGTCTCTCGTCTTCTCCAAAAGCTGAATTAGGTTTTTGAATTTGGGTTTCTGTATCAACAATGGCGATACTCTCTTTACGATCTCCAATCTCCTTGCCGATAATTTCTTCCTCAGTTTCTACTTTGCGCTCAAAACCCATCTCGAATTTACCATTATCTTCGCTTGCTTCTGTTTCCTTCACCAGATTAGAATCCAATTACGCTTCCGTTTCTCCCATCATTAGACCTCGTATGGTTTCCTCGAGAGCTACCGCCGGAGCCACGCATCCCGTCACTGATTACAGAGAAGATATCGGCGATATCCTCGGCGAAGTCTCAATCTTCACTGCTTCCGGCCAACGCGTGAATTTCAGTGATCTCTGGGATCAGAACGATGTATGTTCTGTGTAATTTACTTCCACTAATTCGATGATGCATATGAAAAATTCTATTGAATTCATGGATATTAGCTTTGAAATGTGTTTTCTTTATATACACAGGGAATTGCTGCTGTTGTGCTTTTGAGGCATTTTGGATGCGTTTGCTGGTACATATGATTGAGATTCTAAGATAACACTTTGAAAAATTTCTAGAAATCGGCGAGGATTGTTGCAAGACGTTTTTTTTTGTTTCCTTTCATTCAAATGATCACTGATAATGGAATTTGATTGTTTTATGTGAAAAAGTTGGGAACTTGCTACTGCGTTGAAAGAGGCGAAACCTCGATTTGATGCGGCTGGTGTTAAATTGGTGGCTGTTGGTGTTGGAACACCTGATAAGGCTCGTATACTTGCAACTCGGGTAATATTCCCTAATCTTTCTCCATTTTGTTGGCATATACGATATATTAACTTCGTAAGTCACATTAGCTTATGGATATGTTTCTTGAGATGTAAGTTATGTTGGCTTGTTCCTTAGACTTAGGGATGTCTCACTTGAGGCCCTCTATTTGAATTCTTGTGCGATGGAGTGTTCGGTTTATTTGTGAATTAAAACTCAGACCAAAATTGTGCTGAGTTTTGTGAAATGATTCTTAAGCCCTTTGTTGATACAATTAATTTAAAATATTTGTTTCTTGCTTGGTCTAAGTACACCTTCAATGTGAATTTGGAAAGAGGTTGGAATATAGGGAAAAGTAGCTTATAGCTTTGGATCAGAATTTACCTTAATGCATAGCATAGGGCAAAATGGCAAGTTCCAACTCCCAAGTGTAAGTCGTTGTATTATGGGACTAGTGAATGCTCAAACGCTAGATGGGTCACACGGAACTAAAGTTTGAGGAAACGGCGAAATTCGAAGGAACCAAACGATGTCGACTCACTTTCACAACTCCTTATTGGTCTCCAAAGATAATGAGTTTTAACAGTATTGTTTTCATTGATTTAGTTACCTTTCCCGATGGAATGCCTTTACGCGGATCCTGAACGCAAGGTAAAGCTAAAATAAAATAAAATCAAACTTACCTTGTTTTTCGAGATTTCTTTCGTGAAATGATTATTGAAGTTAAGAGGGCTTTTTCTTTGTGTGCAGGCATATGATGTTCTTGGTTTATACTACGGTTTAGGTCGCACTTTCTTCAACCCAGCTAGTGTATGAACCATTTCTAATTGTCTATACTATTTTACCTCGGAACATCTTAGAAACTTTGATCATAAACAGGCTAAGGTCTTCTCAAGATTTAAAGAGTTACGAGAAGCTACAAAGAATTACACCATACAAGCCACTCCTGAAGACAGAAGCAGTGTCTTGCAACAGGTTTTTTCTACGTTTAGTTCTTCACAAGACAAGATTTTCAATAGATAAAAGATATTCTCTGATCCTTTGTCTGTCTTCTTCTCAGGGAGGTACGTTTGTGTTCAGAGGCAAGAAACTGTTGTATGGTCGAAAAGACGAAGGTACTGGAGATCATCCATCTTTAGATGATGTCATCAATGTCTGTTGCAAAGCCACTGTTGCTTGAGCATTGAAACAAAGTCTCTCTGGTTTGTCTTTATACACTAAATCAATGTATATTTGTAGCTACTATTAATGTAATTATCACTTAAGTTTTTGGAAATAGTATAAACAGTAAGAGCAATATGTCAATTGTTCAAGTCCAATCTCTCTACGCTCGTGTAGATCTTTTGAAGATGTCGACAATTCATTGAACTACACAAGTCTTCTTCAATGCAAGACAAAAGTGTTTTGGTTTGTTATTGGAATACAAATGTCCTTTTTAATAATGCTTAGAAAATGTGTTTGTATTTAGAGATAGGTACTAAAACAACTTTAGAAATTAGCTTAATTTCTAAAATAATTTTTATTCAACCTTGATATTGAACAAAGGTTCTAAAAGACATATAAACCCTAGTAAAAAGTTTTTATTACGAAAATGCCATTCAGAATTAATAAAAAAAAAATCAGAATTAATAAAATAAAAAAATCAGAGATTTGTTTCAAACCGCGTTAGCGGAAGCGCCGGATACGCGCTCGGCAGAGGTGTGGAGGCTGCGGAAACACCAAAATTTAGGTAAAAATCGGATTAAAAATCAAAAGTTGAAGAAAAAAAATTCAAAATCTTTTGATTTTCTGTTAGAAAAAGAATATATGATGTTAGATCTAATAGTTTTAGGCAAAATCCAGTTGAAAACGAGTTAAAATAAAGTAAAATGAGCTCAAAAGTGGCTGGCGGCCATTGTTAGGATTTGAGAGAAGTTTGGTGTTATGGAGAAGATGAGGATAAATTACGATTTTACCATTTATTGAATAAATCTACCACTACTATAAATAAATCTACCACATATTATAAACTACCACTACTATAAATAAGTCTACCACATATTATAAATCTACCACTACCACGACTATAAATAAGTCTACCACATATTATAAATCTACTACTACTATAAATAAATCTACCACTACTATAAATAAGTCTACGATTGCGCGAACCATCAATAANTCTATCGATCACAAAATTAACTCTACCACTACTAGAAATAAGTCTACCACATATTATAAATCTACAACTATTATAAATAAGTCTACCATCACATGAACAGTACACTTATTCGGTTTTGGCGGAAAAATTTTGCGGTCTCATTAATGGTAGTTTCGTAAATACGTTTTTTATCTTAAAAAAAAAAAGGCTAAAACGAGTATTAAAAACTTTTCAATGTTGTTTGAGTTAAAATTCAAAGAAAAACATCATTTTGGTCAAAAACCAACTTTTTAAAGTTGTTTTTGTAAAACTCTTTTGTATTTATTTGAACTATGCACTACAAGTGAAATAACTAGTGCATATCCTCAAAATGGATAATATTTGTTTTCATAGTATTTAATAATTTATATAAGAAAAAAAAAAAAGATAAGAGTTGTCGAATGATATTTTGACGTTGAGATTTTAAAAATATCAAATTGAATACCATTCGTCATAATATAGTCAAATAATGATTTTAAATTCCAAAATGCGGTGTGACATGACTAAGCATGAAACCTTGGTCTATATTCCTTCATAAAACTATTTTAAAGGCTATTAAAAAAACGATTAAAAAACGCAAGTTTATGAAAACGACTATTGTCTGATACAAAACTAGTACTAATCAAATCAAATATTTAATCCCTTAATGGAGGAATACTTAATCTTTGAAATCTCTATCATGCGCAGAGCCCAAGAAGACTCTACTAACGTACGCATTAATACCCGGCCGAAAGACGATCACTCCTCACAACTTCACAAGCAACAAAAATTCTCTTTCAAGTTTTCAAACACACATTTTTTTGTTTCCTCTCTGCAAATTTTCCTTTTTTTTAACACTCACGTGAAAAAAGCTTCGTCTTCCTCAACCAAAATCTCTCCGATGTCGTTTAATCACCGGTTAAGCTACCGGTTACTCTTCCTTCTCGTTCTTAGCTTCGAAACGGCACGGCGTTTAGCTTCAGGTGACCCAAACGACGAGGCGTGCTTAACGAATCTCCGTCAAAACCTACAAGATCCGGCGAACAATCTCCATAACTGGACAAAACCCATCTTCTCAAACCCATGTTCCGGTTTCACTTCTTACCTCCCCGGAGCTACTTGCAACAACGGTCGAATCTACAAACTCTCCTTAACGAATCTCTCTCTCCGTGGCTCGATTTCGCCTTTTCTCTCTAACTGCACAAATCTCCAATCCTTAGATCTATCTTCAAACCAAATCTCCGGCGAGATCCCGCCGGAGTTACAGCTCTTAGTCAACCTCGCCGTTCTTAACCTCTCGTCTAATCGTCTCTCCGGTCAAATCTCACCTCAGCTCGCTCTTTGCGCTTACTTAAACGTTATCGATCTTCACGATAACCAACTCTCCGGTCAAATCCCGCAACAATTCGGGATTCTATCGAGATTATCGGCGTTTGATGTGTCTAACAATAAATTATCCGGTCAGATTCCGGCGAGTTTGGCGGTACGGAGGTTTAATTCGAGCTCGTTTATAGGGAATAAGAAATTGTTTGGGTATCCATTGGAGGAGATGAAGAACAGAGGATTGTCTGTAATGGCGATTGTTGGGATTGGTCTTGGAAGTGGAATTGTGAGTTTGGTGATCAGTTTTACAGGAGTTTGTATTTGGTTGAGGATTACGGAGAAGAGGATGGAGGAAGAAGAAGGGAAGATTAGTCACTCAATGCCTAATTACTAAAATTGGCTTCTTTTAATGACATGTTAATTACAAAACAAAACGAAAAGATACACAAATAGGGGGGATTTTATTATGTGTAATTACGGTTAGCTAATGCTCTAATCGTATTAAGATTTTTATTTTTGTTTCACCTTTTGGGAATTTCTCGTTATTTAGGTTTGTAAATTGTAATGGGGTATAGTACTATATATTAACAAAAGCAAGATTTATTTATGGAAAGCTCTCATTTTACAG